ATATGACATCTATGTACCAAGTTTCATTGAAATGTGATGATTAGTACTTGAGATATCAGTGGAAAAACCGAAAATTGACTAATTATTATGCAAATTAGGTAATTAGTATCCACGGATTATTACCAAAAACTAATCAAATCTGCGCATATGTTCAGAGCATCTATGTACCAAGTTTCATCAAAATCCAATGAGTGGTTCTTTAGATATCAGTGGAACAGTCATAGAACAGCTAAAAATCAGCTAATTATCATGCAAATTAGGTAATTAACGAGCATGGATTTTTACTAAAACCTAATCAAATCTGCGCATTGGCCCAGAGCATCTATGTACCAAGTTTCATCAAAAACCGATGAATGGTTCTTGAGATAGCAGTGGAACAGTCGGACACACATACACACATACACACACACACACACCCTGACACACTAACTGCAAAGATTCCCATTATGTGCTTCGCACATAGGAGTAAAAAATTACGGCACTAATATTTCAGATTACTTACTGTAACCAATCTTTTAAAATGGCCAATAGTGGGCGCTGGTTTCAAGAAAAATCACATTAGGTACATCACAATTATTAAATACGTGAATACTAACTTTATTTATTTTATAAAAAATTGGAATATCAAATTTATTTTAAAATAATTTACAAATAATTCGTCCCCAATTTGTGAAAAAATAAACAAAATACTAGATCATACAATAAAATGTTTTCAAGTACTGTCATGTTTTAGAAAAGTTGAGAGAATATGTGTTCAACTGGTATGCTAGATTTGTGGAATACTTTAAATTAAATTTATAATGTACATGTATCTACTTTTTTTTTTCTTCTAAATAACTGAACAATTATTTTTTTGTTTGAACCAAACATATGCATAACTTGAACACCTTCACAATTCATTCATTTGATAACACAATTGTCATTTTGGCTCATGAGTACTGATACTATTGACATTACAAGAATATTACATTGTTTTTTATTAATTTTTATAAATTTCAATGAAGGGTTTTTCAATCAGCGATCAGTGTTCAATGGCATCATTTGAAAATGTTTCAATGTTGTACCATCGGCCAATAGAAATCGAAATTTTCAGTTTGAATTGGGATAAAAATGGAGGGAATGCATTTGTCGTGTCAATAGTATTTACATGGATTAAATAAAGAAAGCTTCGAAAGAACTACGATGTACTGGTGATGATTTCGCACATTAGTAAAGTTAGATGCTCTCAGCCTCATATAAACACTTTGGCAGTATTGTGGGTAATGTGTTACCTTTGACATATAGATATATTAATTAGTCATAATTTTAAAGTCGACCATGAACATTTTGGCAAACAAATTAAGAACTAATCAGGTCTGTGGTTTATCCCAGATCACCTATGTACCATGTTTCACGGAAATCTGTTGAGTGATTCTTGAGGTATCAGTGAATTTCAAAGAAACTAAAAATGTGCTAATTATTATACAAATGTTGTAATTAATACATGCGAATTCAACCCAAATCTAATTATATACATATTATGCCAGGTTTCAATAAAATTGATTAAGTGGTTTTTGAGATATCAGTGGAAAGTACACACTCAAAACACTTGGTTCTGTGCTTTCACATAGCTGAGTGTAAAAAATTGTAAAAAACAATGCAGCTTATTGTCTTTTAAACACAGAAGAAACAAAAGACTGTGCAAAATGTGATAAAGGCACACCTATCAATAATTCTATGCGATTAATTTGTAATTATCTTTT